CTGAAACCAGGTGGAATTTTGGACCTCAAGTACCTGTAGCTGGGGAAATGCATTGAACTGGAACTACATAGACAAAACTTTAACTTCAGAAACTTCCTTACAAGTTAATTTGTAGTATTTGTACTACCTGAGCATTTCCTTTAACTTCACCATTTCTTCCTCACTTTGGTTGATTTTTCAGATCTCAGTGTCTATTTCACCGACAAAATATATGTTTCGCCTACAATATACACAGTCACTACACTTTAATAAAAATAATCCTTGCATTTGATATAGCGCCTTATCACGTCTTCTAGACGTCTCAAAGAGCTTCACAGAATATACTGTAAAGTGTAGTGACTGTATATTTTGTGGATCAAATGCGGCAGCCAATTGCGCACAGCAATGTCCCACAAACAGTTGTGGATTGAGTGACCATTTTATTATTCTTATTTTTTTTGAAGGTATTATTACCCCCGGAAAAGCAACCGAGTTCCTACTTACTGCTGGGTAAACAGAGGAATGTGGAGTAAGGAAACTTTCACCCTGCTGTATATTCTCAGTATATTCTGTACAGCATATCCTTTACAGTATATTCTGTGAAGCACTTTGAGATGTCTTAAAGATGTGATCAGGCGCAATATCAAATGTGAGGATTATTTTATTATCTGATCAAGTCAATTTTCTTTGTTTTCATTCTCAGGATTCTTCTAGCCTCTGTCACAGCCATTGGCCATGACTATTGACTATATCCTGCCGGATGCTGCCTCCGCTCAGTTGGCTCCGGCCTTCTGTTCCACCATCGGTAGCCACTACACCCCGAAACTCTGGACACTCTCTCTCAATCCCTTGGCCTTGCCCCCTCCCTCCCCACCTTCAAATCCTGCCTAAAGACCTTCCTTTTTGATTGTGTTGATGGTCACCTCCCTCTGCCCCTGGCTCGGGGTCAGACTCTGCCACTGTGCAGCTCTCCGGGACATTACCCTGAGTCAAGAGCGCTATATAAATGGAAGCTGCTATTGTTGTTGTTGATCTAATCGCTTTGCCATCAATGCTACAGTACAAAGCTCCTGTGTGGTCTGTCTGTCACTGAGTAGTATTTATAATTGCTTTTCGGCAATAAAATTAACAGCAAAGTCCAAAACCTACTGTGATTGAGACACTCAGAAATTACAACCTTTATCACAATTGGTGGATGGATGGTTGGATGGAGTGGAATATCTCAGATACACATGTATTTGGATAGAACCATAGAAAGCAAGTAATAAACTAGCGTCTTTCGCAGTCTGACTTTATATTTAAATTCTTCTTCTGAGTCCCTAATTTTGAGGATTAACATAACTCACCAGTCATGGGGTGAGTCAATTGACTGAGATAGTTGTAAACTGTTTTAATAGGTTCTCAGGTTCAATTCAAGCAATTGAAACTCAAGGTCAGGTTGACTTAAGTTTATTGGGCATTAGCCAGATTGGCCAAATCATGCAGATTGCGTATGACTCCAAAACTGATAGTGAAAGGGCGGGTCTGCACACTCACATTTCAAAGGTTAACGTGCACTGATATCTCTGGCAGATCCAGCCTTTCATTGCAGATGTCCAGTACCAATAGGTGAATACAGTATGAAAACAGAAGGTTGAATCAGGAAGGTGTTTTTTGTGGATTCATTTTCTCTTTGTGGACTACTGGAAACTTCAAAATGGCTCCAGGATTTTCAAAAGGCTTGTATTTTCTTGTGCTTTGTGCTTCACTATCTCCTGTGAGATCCGATTGGTGGAATGTTTTTAGATTTCCCAAAGATACAACTACTGGAACCAGTCATCTGAAAGAAATGTCATCACCTGTAACCACTGAACCAACAACCAAAGCTACTACAGCAGCATTTCCAACAGGCCCTGGGAAACAAACAACACATACTGAAGAGCCCCTGGAGAGACCCAAACAAAGTAGACACAATGCTGGCTTGGAAGAAATTGATCAAAAAACAGCTGCAGCAACAGAATTTTCCAGTTCGGTTTCAACCCTGCCTCAGGGCACAGCACCCACAGCTGGATATACATCACCAGGTGAGTCAACTGGTTCTTTATTTTCTGTTTGTGGGATGCTGCTGTGCACAATTGGCTGCCACATTTTGCCCACAAATATACAGTCAATTCACTTTACAATCTATTCTGTGAAGCACTTTTGGACATCGAGAAGATGTGAAAAGCGCTATATTTAATGCAAGGGTTATTATTATTATATTATTATTCTCACTGGTCTGCTTTACACCAGTGATGTTGCCCAGCAAACAGCACTGGAGTGATTCCAATAATAGTGGGTTATGAAGTGACTGATTGAAGCCACTTGTTTCATGATTTAAATGTGAACGGCATTGCACAAGTTGTGGCTGATAATATCATTTACAGTTGAATAAACGTGATATTTGATTATCTTTGTTATCTTCATTTCAAATATGAATGATTTTGGCAAAAGCCTCTTTGTTGCTGTGTTATGTCCTGCCCGGTGACCAGTTAATAATAACAATAATAATCCTTGCATTTGATATAGCGCTTTTCACGTCGGGAGGACGTCCCAAAGCGCTTCACAGAACACACTGTAAAGTGAAATGACTGTATATTTGTGGGCGAACGCGGCAGCCAATTGCGCACAGCAATGTCCCACAAACAGTCGTAGATTGAAAATGACCAATTTATTATTGTTTTTGGTTTTGGAGGGATTATTATTAGGAGTGTGGAGTAAGGAAACTTGCCCAAGGTTTCGCCCTCTGCCTGGAATGGAACTCGGGTCTCTCGCTTGCAAAGCGAGTGCTCTAACCACTGAGCTACAGGACTCCACTAAATCCTAAGTCCACTAAGTCATTTGTTTCAAGAACAAATGAGATCGATTTCTATTAGTAAATAATATCTCAGGATCCAGTATGTAGTTAGGACAGGAAATGTCAAGTGACTGCCAGTATGGTGGAAGGTGAACCAGATGGACCTTGGTCTTCTTTTGCCAGCAAATTCTTATGTTCTAATAGACGGGGGTATCAGGAGATAAGGAGAGAGAGGGTGGGAGGTAGAATTGAGTGGCAGATAAACCACGATCTTGGTGGGACAGTGATGGCCTCCTTGTTCCTATGTTTCTGAAGGAACATGTGTGACTGAAGGACAGACAAAGGTTGTCAAACAATCTATGGTCCCTGTACTGCTGAATTTGTGCTGTGTGGAATGCAGTTGGTCAGTGCTGAATATTCCGGATTGTAAAAGGTAGATTGGTGTCCTGGAATTTCCCAAGATTGATTACCTTGGGTATCATGGAGACATTTCACAGAACTTTATCTTCTTGGAAATGTTTACCTATGACTATTTACCAGTCTCAGGAGATTAACTAACTTGGACCCAGTACTCAGCAATGCACACTGCAGGTGCGCCCATACTGGTGCTATTCAGAGGATGGAAGAGATAGTGTTTTTTAATTGCTGCTAGTTAATCAATAGATCAGGGCCAATGTCCTCTGATGTTATCATTGATCACATCTCTTTGTTCGATCTGCTGAGACCCTCATCCACACCTGTGTCACCTTCAAGTTCAATTACAAGCGCTCTGAGACTCTGCCCTGCGTGGAGGGTGTAATATAAGTGCAAGTTGTTGTTGTTGTAATGTAAAACTGCTTGTCAGATTCCCTGACTCCCAACACAAGCAGCACCAACCGGAAATCGGCATTTGCAGGGATGTCCTTTCCTGCCCCAGACTCCATGAGCCCATCATTCCAACTGCCCTCAGCTCCACTCGCTCTCCAAACCTCAGTGGATCAAATTAAAGATTCTTGTCTCCACTTTCAAATACCTCCATGCGGCCCACAGAACACGGTTATTACATCTTGCACTAGATCCTATGAAGTGCTTTGAGACATCCTCCTGACATGAAAGGTGCTGAATCAAGTATAAGGATTATTATTGTTATTATCATTATTTATTATGGCTTCGCCTCACTCTATCTTTGTGACCTCCTGCTTCCCCCGGCTACTCTGTCCTACCATAATTGGTGTGCTTTCAGCATTTCTGCTCTCAAACTCCAGAAATCTATGCCCAGAATGCCCCCTTCCTCTATGCCTTAAGCCCCATCTCTTTGACGAAATCTTTCCAAAAAGCCCCAGTGTCCCTATCGGACCTTTTTTGCAAGGATTTATCACAAAGTCACAAGGTGCCACAAGGCACAAGGAGAAAGGTCGATTGTCATACAAGATATTGATAGCAATTGATCCTGTATGGATTTTTTTGGACAGTATGGTTTAGTCTACCATCACAGTGGAAATTGTCATTTAAGAAAATAAACTGAAAGTCCTGGAGCAAATATCTTTTAAATAGAAACATTCAGTTTTCAGTTATAGTGGCTTCTCACTAAATGGGCTAAGAATTGTCCTGGCTCAACAATCCTCCAGATAAATTGTTGCGGTTGTTACTTTATGGCTATGCATGGAATCTTGCTACGCGTAAATTTGCTACCACGTTTGCTTAAAAATAGTCACTACACTTGTCAGCAATGAATGAAATATTTGAGACATTTTGGCATATGAAATACAAAAATCATTTTTATATGATATATATGTGTTCATTTATTTCTAAGCCCATTCTATTCCCTGTAGAGAATTTAAGGAACAGAGTGCATTTGAGCATTTGAGAATCTTGCAATTTTCACGCTATATTTTATTGTCAAACATAACCAGAAGAGTGATGCCCATAGTCGCAGATCCTCAATGATTTCTGCTTGTAGCAGCCCCACTAAAACAACAAACTGCTGCTGGGAGGGAGCCAGGTCTTCATCCTTGACAAGTTATCAGGATGCATGTTGATAAAGCATTCAGTGAGTGAATCCGCACTCAGAACGAGACATTCCCCTCTTAGGATAACAGTCCTTCAGTGTGAGAACCAGTAGCAGAAGTGTATCATGAAGAAATGACTTTGCGCTTTTATTTGAGGGCTTTTTAATAGTTTGTTTGAGTAAAAAAAAAACAGCAAAGTTGGATTGCAATTCTGTATGAGCCTCAGTACCAAGATGTCAGCTTTAGTTTTTAATACGGTGAGCTTCATGCTTCTCTGCGGACTCCTCCAACCAGCAAGTCCATGGTGGTGGAATTCACCTGAGGATGAAACCACAGTGGCTCCTGTGAGTAAGAAGCCCAACGAGGTGTCAGCTTCTCGGGCTAAGAGCGAAGACGCACAGTTGCCTATTGTTCCTGGTAAAAAGACTCCAGCAGATGGTAAGATTTGGGTGTCTCCTTTACCAAGTCAGCATAAAAATGCTCAGCCCATGAGAAGAAAAGGAACATTTGATGGAATAGAATTAGAATTATCAGGTTACTGGAGGCAACCTATTCAACCCAGAACATTAGTAGAGTTTACGCTAATACACTGGGAGTAGTAAAAAGCAGAGAATCGCAAAGGGATTCACTGAAGGCTGAATCAAATGTAATTTGTTGTTGTTAGGAAATCCTGCCACAAAGCAGCCAAATGGCTGGAAATCTGATCAGGATACAAAATTAAATTTGTATAGTGCTTTTCACATTGAGAGGACGTCCCAAGGACAGTCAGGGATTTGGATGCGAGCTGGTCACTCCATGGCTGTTTGTGGGAAATTGCTGTGCATATACTAGCGACCATATTTAGTTCACAAAATATATAGTCACTACATTTTACAGAATATCCTGTGAAGAACTTTCAGATGTCTTGATGGGCTGATAAGGTGTTGTACAATAAAATGCAAAATTACATTTTGCTTTTCATCTCAGGAGGACATCCCAAGGTTTCAATGAAACAGTCAATGTTTCAGACCTGAATTGAGGGTTGGGATCAGGCAGGGTGAAGGGCAGTGGGGGGGGTGGCTGAAGATTCGGTTGAAGAGCAGGCCAGAGCCTGCTGAGTGGAGGGAGTGGACAGGTTGATATGGGGTCAGCAGGTTGCAGTGGTAGGGAGGGGCAAGGCCATGGAGGGCCTTGAAAGCGAAGATGAGGATTTTGAACTCTATCCTCTGAGGGATGGGGAGCCAGTAGAGATGTTGTAATCCTGCCACAAAGGTGCTGGACAGTCAGGAATCTGCACCTGAGCTGGTGATTAGGATCAGGAGGGCCTTATCAGGTCGTCGAGACATTTCATTTCAAAGTGCTTCACAGGATTTACTATGAAGTGAAGTGACTGCATATTTTGTGGAGAGAGCACCCACTGCTCCAGATAGAATGAGTCTGAAAAGCTTCAGCGCAGTGTGGACTATAGGAGAGGAAGCATCCTCTATCCACATTGGCAATTGTGATGCAAGTGGACAGTGGGTCTAACTTATGCTGTTAAGGTATTTCTTATCAAGAAATGCGTAATTCACAAATTTCCGAAACGTTCGAAAGCTTAAAAGATTTTAGAAATTCTAGAATTACCACATCTTATTAAGGAATTTGTGGAGCAGCTTCTCCAGTGCAGGACAGGACTGGGTAGGAGAGCACTCGCCTCACAAGCAAGAGCACCTGAATTCGATTCCCGGCAGGGCGAAACATGAGTCAAGTTTCCTTACTCCACAAGCCTCTGTTTACCTAGCAGTGAGTAGGAAGCCAGCTGTTAGGCAATTGGCGGATCGCTTATCCGGAGGTAAAAATTTCTTCAAAATAAATAAAAATAATTTGTTCACTCAATCCACGAGTCTTTGTGGGATGCTGCTGTCTGCAATTGGTTGCTATGTTTTGCCCACAAAATATACAGTCAATTCACTTTACAGTATATTGTGTGAAACGCTTTGAGACGTCCGGAAGACGTGATAAGGCACTATATCTAATGCAAGGATTATTATTATTACTACTACAGGGCAGGGTAGAAAAGTGAACTCCAGTACAGGACAGGGCTCCAATGCTACAAATTGGAATCCAGTGAAAATACTGTATTCTCTTACAACTGAAACAGACTAGTTTTGGGTTATTTTGCCCCAGCTGCTTTATAGAACAATTTTCTTTTAATCTTGTTTGTGGGAAACTGTGGTGGGGCTGGGAGACAGTGGTGGGGTGGGACAGGGAGACTAGTGGGGCAGGGAGACTGTGGTTGGGGCAGGGAGACTGTGGTGGGTTGGGGCAGGGCGTGGTCTGTTTCTTCAGACCATAACAGCTCACCTTCCCCCCCCTCCCCCTCTTTCTGTTACCAGAAGAGTTATCTTCTGTTATCATTGCCATCATCACCGCAGACACTCTGCCTCTCTCTGGTGTGTTGCCTGTTCTGCACTATTAACACTTCTCCCCAGTTTTGTTTCAACCCAACCCCCCTTTTGTTTTACGCCTCTATCACCTCTTTTACGCCACTATCACCTCTTTAACCCATCAACTAACACATTCTCTCCTTTGTCTTCTTTTTTTGTCTTCTTTCTCTTCCTTGTCCTGCCTCCCCCTCTCAACTTGTTCTTAAAAACCTCTCCCTCCCAACATGCCCCAGTTCTGATGAAGGGAAAGTGTGGTGAAAACGTTGACTCACTTTCCTTTCTCCATAGATGCTGCCTGACTTGCTGAGTTTTCCCAGCTCTCTCTGTTTTTGTTTCAGATTTCCAGCATCTGCAACATTTTGTGTTTTGTTCACAGTTCTCAGGTCACCTCACTAAGTGGGCCACTTTTGCCCAGTCTCTGGAGTGACAGGGTTTATGAGGTTCCACTGAACTATAGATCAACTATGTTTAGACTGTGGCTATGGATTAATAATGCTTAGGGATTATGGTTTCTTTTGATATGACTTTATGATGTTATAATATCTCAAAGTGTTTCACATAATCATTTACTTTGAACTGTTGCTATGTAGGCAAACGCCACAGATTATCTGTGCCAGCAACTTTCCACAAACAACAGTAGGTCGATGCCTTATTAATATTTTTTGCTGACTGAATGAGTAACAAGTATTAGCCAGGACACAAGGCGGATTCCTTGGTCTTATCCAAAATAATTTGAACCACGAGAACAGGACCTTGGATTGTCTCATCTGAAGGATTGATTATCTACGCAATGGGTTTAAACATTTGATAATTAATGTCCCTTATGGAAACTTAATGAGAATTGTGGTCCAGAACTGGAGCCAATCCCACCAACAATACAAATGTAAGGAGTGAATGTGTATCAGTTTGGACACAAGCTGAGACAGAAATAATGGTGTTAAACCAGAAATAAAATTGCCGCCCAATTCTCTCATTCCCGATTGAACTAATTTGTCCCCATAACACCCGCTCCCATCTTACTACTTGATCCGATGTTCTTGTGACACACTTCAAGACGTGAAAGCTATTGTACAAGTGAAAATTCACACAGTGCCCCTCAGCGGAACCAAAACTTGCCAATCGGCTGAACAGGTGTGCTCAGATACTGATAGGTAGTCATAGAAACATAGAGTTTCCAGCATAGAAGGAGGGCATCTCGCTCATCAAGCCTGACTCGACTCACAGAGCAAACGTCCTGGGTTGAAATTCAACTTGTGATTTTTTTTATTATTATTATGTTTTGTTATTAATTATTTGTATTACATTTATTATTTTTCACTTGTGTTGTGATGAGTTACCATTCTCAGGGGCAGGCGTCTAGAGTTACAAATGATCACTGAACACTGATTGTCTTCCAGAGGAAGAATCACTGAAGGACATCAATCTGCTGCAACTAGTTTCAGAAACTTCTCCGGAGATACCCCTGATTGAAGGCCTGAATGGAGGAATGGCCCTTGATTTTCACTCAATCAGCCCCAGTGTCATCCCAGCTCAGCCACTCTTTCCAAAATATTTTTACAAAGATTTTTCTATTCTAGCCACACTGAAACAGACCAATCTGAATGGTGGGTTTATCTTTGCTCTCATGGGTGCTCCTCATGAGGTCATTAACCTTGGGGTTAAGCTGTCTCCAGTGGAGGACAACATCCAGATGATCAACTTTTACTACACACCGTCTGACTCCGAGATCTCCAATAAAGTGACTTCCTTCAGCGTGCCGGCCAGGATCAACCAATGGACAAGGTTTGGACTCAGTGTTGAGGGGAACATGGTCACTCTTTACTTACAGTGTCAGAGGCCACAGCGACTTTCATTCAAGAGAGTATCCGACCCGCTGATGTTTAAATCAAATTCCAATTTATTCATTGCCAAAGCTGGAGGAGTCAACGGAGACAAGTACACTGTGAGTTCTTATTTTCCAATAGATAGTAATAATAATCCTTGTATTTGATATTTCTTGGTGATGTCATCCGCAGACATGGGGTCAACTTCCACACGTATGTGGATGTCACCCAACTCTACCTCTCTGCCTCCACCATTGACTCCAGGATCCACTGCTGTTCTGACAGAATGTCTGTGAGACATGAAGTCCTGGATGAGAGCTAACTTTCTTCAGTTGAACGCCAAGACCAAGGCACTCCTGATTGGCTCCTGTCAGCGCCTCCTCATCTCAGGCACTGACAGGATCATCATCCATGGTTGCTCACTCCACCTTGCTTAGCCAGTCCAGAATCTTGGTGTCTTGTTTGACCCTCGACTGACCTTTCTGTCTACCTTCTTGCCCACTAACCTAGTCTGTCTATTTTCCTTTGGATTCTTCGTGTATCATCCTCACTGCTTACTCTCTCACTTATCTTCGTATCGTCCGCGAATTTAGATATGCTAAGTTCTATTTCCTCATCTAAATCCTTGATATAGACTGTAAATAATTGAGGCCCAAGCATTGATCCTTGTGGCACTCCACTACAACAACAACAACAACAAGATTCCATTTATAGAGCGCCTTTCACGTCGGGAGGACGTCCCACGGCGCTGTACAGTTGGGTCAGGACCCGAGCAGGGGGGAAATGGTCAGGGTGAGGGGAGGGAAGGGAGGGAGCCACATCCTGCCAATCTGAGAAGGCCCCGTTCATCCCTACTCTCTGTTTTCGTCCTGTTAGCCACTTTCCAATCCACGCTAATATATTACCTTTAATTCCATGAGCTCTAATCTGATGCAATAGCCTTTTATGTGGCACCTAGTCCAATGCCTTCTGGAAATCCAAATACACCACATCTACTGGTTCCCCCCTATCTAACCTGCTAGTTACATCCTCAAAAAACTCTAAAAGATTCGTTAAACATGATTTCCCTTTCATAAAGCCATGTTGACTCAGTACCCCATGACGACGTCCCTAATTAAGAACGCTAGAATTTTCCCTACACCAATGTCAGACTGACTGGTCCATAGTTCCCCATCTTCTCTCTCCCACCCTTCTTAAGTATCGGCATTACATTTGCGATTTTCCAATCAATGGGAACTGTTTCAGAATCCAAGGAATTTTGGAAGATCAAAAGCAAAGCATCCACTATCTCTGTAGCCACCTCTTTTAAAACCCTAGGATGCAGACCACCAGGTCCAGGGGATTTATCTGTTTTTAATCCTACCAATTTCTCTAGCACTATTGTTTTACTGATGTTCCTTTCTTTAAGTTCCTCACTAACATTATCCACTAACATTATTTTTGGTAAGTTTTTAGTGTCCTCTAACGTGAAGACAGAAGCAAAATATTTGTTTAATGACTCTGCCATTTCTTTATTCCCCGTTATAATTTCTCCTGTCTCTGCCTGCAATGGACCCACATTCACTTTTGATAGTCTCTTTCTCTTTATGTACTTGTAAAAACTCTTACAGTCTGTCTTTATGTTCCTAGCTAGTTTACTCCGATATTCCATTTTCTCCCTCAGTTTCTTGGTTTTCCTTTGCTGTTCTCTAAAGCCCTCCCTCAGGTTTACTGCTCTTTTTGGCAGTATTATAGGCCTCTTCTTTTAATTTTATACTTTCCCTAACTTCTCTAGTTAGCCAAGGTTGAATCACTTTCCTGTGGCATTTTTATTTTTTAAGGGAACATGTGATCGCTGGGAATTATATCTTTAAACGTTTGCCATTGCTGGTCTTCCGTCATATTTTTTAATATCATTTCCCAGTCTATTTTAGATAAATCTTCTCTCATACCTGCAAAGTTGGCTTTATTTAAATTTAAGATCCTTACTTCGGATTCAACGACATCACTCTCTAACTTAATGTTAAATTCCATCATGTTATGGTTACTCTGTCCTAAAGGAGCCTTAACTTCCAGATTGCCGATTAGACCTATATCATTACACAAAATAAGATCTAGGATAGCCTGTTCCCTGGTTGGTTCCTCAGCATACTGGTCTAGAAAACTATCTCTAGTGCATTCTATAAACTCATCCTCTAATTTACTTTTGCCAATGTGGTTTTTCCCAGTCTAAATGAAGATTGAAATCACCCACTGTTAGTGTATTCCCCTTGCTACACGCTCCTCTATTTTCCTGATTAATATCCTGCCCAATACTGTAACTGCTGTTTGGGGGTTTATAAACTACTCCCACTAGTGTTTTCTGCCCCTTGTTTCTTACCTCCACCCATACTGACTCTACATCCTGATTTTCTGATTTAAAATCCTTCCTCGCTACTGTTTTTATCTCATCTTTTATTTCATCCGGCCCAAGGCGAATTCTAATTTCCGGCCGCCTGCTCCCTCCCTTCCCGATGCAGGAGCCGGCGGTTGGGAGGAAGCAGCGAGAGAGAGCGTGTGTTTGTGTGTGTGTGAGAGAGAGAGAGGGGAAGGGGGAATGGAAATTGCTGCACTGTGTACCCAAGCTGAGGGAAAGGCAAGCGTATCTCCTTACCCCACTCCGGCTCCTGCCGCTGCAGATAGTGAGACTGATTGAGAGAAAGAGGGGGGAGAGAGAGTGATTGAGTGAGAGAAGGAGAGAGTGTGAGTGAGAGGTGAGAGAGTGTGTGAGAAAGCGCTTACCAGAGAGGGGCGCGAGAGACAATGTGGGAGAGACTGTCTGAGTGGGGAGAGTATGTGTGGGAGGAAGGGGTAGTGAGAGAGAGTGTGTGACGACAAAGAGAGAGGGAGTGAGGGAGAGTAATTGAGAATGTGTGAGAGAGAGAGAGAGAGAGTGTGAGAGAGAGGGAGAGAAAGTGATCGAGAGAGGGAGGATAGAGTGTGAGAGAGAAGAGTGACTGTGTGAGAGAGAGAAAGAGAGAGAGCATAAAGGGGAGGGGGAGAGAAGGGAGATAAAGAAACAAAGAGAGTGAGAAAATGAGCAGAGAGAGAGAGGAGACGTGAGGGGAGTGTTTCGTGGTTCACTGTCAGGACTGATGATTGAAACCTCCCTCGGCCGCCGTGGGGTGTTGGGGGGGCGACCCGAGCACAGACACCGAGTGATGTGCCGGACAGTTTCCTCACAGAAATCTCTCTCTTTCCCCAGTGGGAAACTCCTCGATGGCCCATGACATTTCTCAAGTAGGTTACCTGGCCGTCAGCAGCCAAAAGGTTGGTCCTCCCTGGCTTAGACTGTGTGATTCCAAGTCCTGATGTGGGACTTGAAACCACAACCTTCTGACTCAGAGGTGAGATGCTACCACTGAGCCAGGCTGACACACCTGGTGCCGGCTTCCAGATCTCATATTATTTTCCATTTCAAAGATTGCTCTGACATATTGCAAAATGGCAACCTTTACATTTTGATCTTGGATTTGACTGAAAAGTCAGGCCATTTACTACTGTGTTTTTCAGTGAAAATCAGACCAGTTTTCTTTAGAAGCTGTATTAACCGCCAACAAGTACAGTGACTGGAGGGGGATGGAGAAATAAAAACAAAAGAAGGTTTTTGGAGGAGAAATAAGAGCTAGAATGAATCCTTTGAGTTTGACAGAAAACGTAAAGAGAAAGAAATGAGAGAATAATATGTTGAAGCCGGTAGCAATAGCAGCATGGTAAAGGATTATAAAATGTTATAAAAAAAATTTAAATCGATATTTAGCTTTGCAAATTGTATGAAGTCAAAAAGGTTCAGATTTTACAAACTAAATTATCTGCAGTGTCCAGTAGACAACAACAAAGATCTCAGTATCTCGATGTTTTGGTTTTGAAGAAATGGAAATTTAAATTCTGGAAAATATTTAGGATCCCTAGATTGTGGTACATGTTAAACAGTCAATAAAAAGTTTCATTGGCAACATGGGTTAGTGAAATTATTGTGGTGATGCTTAAGGTTAGCTCCAACATGTCCAATGCTTTACTTTATAAAACTATTTTCGCTGGACAATTTAATGTCAGAATAGCAATTCTCTATCTGAATTGATTCTAATGTGTTTGAGTGCATTGTATTGTGTGACTCACACCTTGGGAGATAAGAACTTTTTATGTTGGGCTGGAGTCTGAGGTCCACTGACTCACCAATCAGTGCAAACCGTCTCTCTCCATTTGCACTCTCAAAATCATTAATATTTGAAAACCTTTATTAGATTTCTTCTGCCTGCCCTGTCATTCAGCTAACGCATTCCCCAACCTCCAGCATCTGCGGCCGTGCTTTCAGCCACCACGCCTCTAATCTCTGAAACTCCCTGCTTCAATCCCTTTGCTTCCGACAACCTCCTCCATCAGTCTTTGCCCCACCGCCTCAACATCCCTTTATCTCTCTCTAAATCCCACCTAAAGACCTTCCTCTTCGACCATATAATAATAATAATCCTTGCATTTGATATAGCGCCTTATCAACATCTTCGTCTCAAAGGGCTTCAAAGTATAAAGTCAATTCACTTTAAAGTATATTCTGTGAAGCGCTTTGAGATGTCTCAAAGATATGATAAGGCACTATATCAAATGCAAGGTTTTTTTAATTATAAAGTGAATTGATTGTATATTTCGTGGGCAAGATATGTTCACCCATGGTTAACCACCCCCCCCCACCCCTGGTTCGGCTTTGAATACCGCCACTGTACAGTGCTCCGAGACCCTATCCTGCGTGAGGGCACTATATAAATGGAAATTGTTGTTTTAGATTTCCTCTCCCTGAACCTTCTCTGTTTTCATGCCAACAAAAGTCCTGGCCTTTGGGAAAACTCCCCTTATTCAGTAGCTAGTACACTCTTAAAATTCAGACTTTGAAGAAAAGAAACTTCAAAGTTGATACTAAAGATTGAAATGTTTCCCTGTTGTCTGAAAGTGACTCCTTGATGGAAATATCTTGTATTTATCTCCTGTTTTAATCAGCCTCCGCATATTTTGTTTTTGCTCCAGGGAGTTATTCAACATCTGTCAATCACACCAGACACAGAGGCAGCAGAGAAGGAAGAAATTGTAACATGTGATGACACCCTGATTGATGAAGACGATGAGGATGAACCGAGGGTAAAGATTTTACAATTAGAGGAACCAGAGATTGCACTTTATTAGAGTTGCAACAGTCAGTGCTAAAATTAATGATTGGTATTGATCAAGGATCTGTTAAATTCGTCCAGCGACTTGAAAGGGGTATTAACTTCTGCAACCACCCTGCTTCAGTTCCAAAGTGAATGAATGTTATGTGTGGTTTCCAGGAACTGTTAGTATCACAATTGAGAGCTGATAAACCTGTTGCTGATCATTTACCTCATCTTCTTTCCCATTATTTTCAACCTGATGTCCTGTGTTATGGGTCTTGGCCTGTTCCATTTGGAGCAGAAATCACTGTTTGAAGAAACTCTTTTATTGAACAAATTGATAAATCAGCACAGATCAGCATAAACTTGTCCTCTAATTAGATAATTAATTAGATTAGATAATTATTTGGGGAGGACACGTTTGCAGGGCTATGGGGAGAGAGCGGGGGAGTGGGGTTGATCAGGGCTGTGGGGAGAGAGCGGGGGAGTGGGGTTGATCAGGGCTGTGGGGAGAGAGCGGGGGAGTGGGGTTGAATTGGATAGCTCTTTTCAAAATGCCGACACAGGTACGATGGGCCAAATGGCCTCCTTCTGTGCTGTGTGATTCTATGATTCCATGATAGACATATCTGTTCCAATTACCTCACTATGTTCCCCCATCCCCACCTGTGTTCGTCCCCTGGTTCTCTATTTATACACGTTCACAAATGCCATTCTCTGTATTTGTGATCAGGTCTCTCTCTCTCTGTTGCCTTTGACATTGTTGACCATTCTAGTCTTCTCCCCCACCTTTCCTCTCTGTTCCACCTTCACAGTTCTGTCCTTGCCTGTTTTAATTAGCTTTCCCATCATCTCCATTTCATACCTGCCAACGGCTTCTTTTCCTGCTCCTGCACCGTCTCATGTGGCGTTCCTCAGGGCACTCTGCTTTCTGTCTCCCATCCAGTTCTGTATCCATGCTGCCACTGTCCCTTTAATACAGTGGGCTTCTTTTGCTTACAAGTCTATTATGTGGCACTTTATCAAACGCCTTTTCAAAATCCATATAAACTACATCAACTGTTCTACCTTTTCCACCCTCTCCGTTATTCATCAAAAAACTCTATCAGGTTTGTTAGACATGATTTGCCTTTAACAAACCCATGTTGGCTGTACTTTATTAACCCATATTTTTCTCAGTGAAAATTTATTTTGTCCCAAATTATCATCTCTAGATGTTTCCCCACGACTGAGGTTAGGCTAACTGGCCTGAAGTTTCCGGGTTTATCCTTCTGCCCCTTTTTGTACAGGGGAATAACATTTGCAACCCTCCAGTTCTCTGGCACCACTCCGGTATCCAAGGAGGATTGAAAGATTGTGGACAGAGCCTCCATTATTTCCACCCTTACTTCCCTCAGTAACCTAGGACGCATCCCGTCTGGACTGGGTGACTTATCTACCTTGAGCACCAACAACCTTTTTTTAGTACCTCCTCTTGGTTTATTCTTCTCTTATCCAATATTCACTGTGGCATTGGCTGCATTCCCTTCTTTTATGAAGACAGATGCAAAGCACTCATTCAGTACGTCAACCATGGAAAACCATGTCTCCACAAGAAGATTTCCTCTTTGGTCCCTAATTGGACCCACCCTACCTTTGACTAACCTTTTATTCTTTAACAAAAACAGAGAGAGCTGGGAAAACTCAGCAGGTCAGGCAGCATCTATGGAGAAAGGAAAGTGAGGTAACGTTTCAAGTCCTCGACCCTTCATCAGTTTGTCAGAGCTGTTGAAGGGTAGTGAACTCAAAACGTTGACTCACTTTACTTTCTCCATAGATGCTGCCTGACCTGCTGAGTTTTCCCAGCTCTCTCTGTTTTTGTTTCAGATTTCTAGCATCTGCAGAATTCTGTGTTTTGCTTTTATTCTTTATATGCTTATAAAATACCTTAGGGTTCCTTTTATGTTACCCACTAATCTTTTCTCGTACAATCTCTTTGCCCCTTTTTAGTTCCGTTTTCAGTTCTCCTCTGTACTTTCTATATTCTATTTGATTATCTTCTGTATTTTGGACCTGACATTTATCATAAGCCTCCTTTTTTAGTTTCATTTTAATCCCAATTTATTTAGTCATCCAGGGATGCCTTACCTTTCCCCTTTGTGGGAATGTATTTGTTCTGTCTCCGAACTATCTCCTCCTTGAAGGCTTTCCATTGCTCGTTTAGCGTTCTACCTACCAATCTTTCTTTCCAGTCCACCTTGGTTAGACCCTATTCAACTCACTGAAATTAGCCCCTTTCCAGTTGAGTGTCTTCACCTTTGATTGTTTCTTGCCCTTTTCGATAAGTACTCTAACCTAATGATGCGATTACTGTTGTCCAGATGCTTTCCCACTGCAACACATTCCAGTTAACCCTCTTCATTGCCCAGAACTAGATCCAGCACTGCTTCCTTCCTCGTTGGGCTGGAAACGTACTAATCTAGAAAGTTATCCTGCTCACATTTCAGGAATCCTTCCCCTTCCTTGCCCTTTAAACTGTTTTCCCCCAGTCTATGTTAGGATAATTGAAGTCCCCTATTATCACTACTCTATTGGTTTTACATCTTTCTGAAATCTGCTTGGCTGACTCTGAGCCTTGAAAATATCTTAAATGAGCATCTAAACTGCATCGAACCTTCCCATATGTCTGTATTAAATGTAACTATCTAACCTGTTGATGAACCACTAAAACTATCCATGCACATGACTTGTTTCCCATTGCTCCCGTGCAGCACTTCCAGAGTCTTTGCTGGATTCACAGGTCTCAGATCGTTACAACGGTTGATTCCATTTTTCTTTTTTTTGGCCTCATGTTTCTTTCTACTTTTTTTCCCTTTCAAGCATCTTGTAGTTATTTCACACCCCTGACACCAGCCACAATATATGGTGCAGAAATCACTGTTTAAAGAAACTTTTTTATTGGGTAAATCAGCATGCATTGTGCCTGATTCCCATCACCTAAATACTCACCCCCGGAGTTCACCCCTGGAGCTCTATTCATACATGTTCAGTCGCAACCCTTTTTGAGTTATCCCAACTTGTACCCGATGTAACGGGCCTTTCCTGCATCCAGGTCGCTCAATAAAAGTGTTAAAAATAAATGAAATGCTGCTCTCTCTGGGCCAAGGGTTTAGTTTTGATGTTAAGGACTAGAAATTCCCAGGACTAATTGGAATTTTTTCATGCTGCAGTTTTCTGGGATGATTCAAAGCGTGGGCTCAAAGGACCAGGAAATTACATTTGTCACCACATTAAATCCAGTAAGTGAAAACTACTTTATGTTATCTGCAATGGAGAACAGTGAGGATCTTGCAGGTCCAAGCCAGGAACCTCTGACTCGCCTTGGAGCTGCCCTCCTGTCACTGGTCAACAGGATTCTCCCTGAAGCACGCACCCAGTCAGTGTTCCAGAGTGCAATTGTGGTTTCTATCCACAAGAAGGGTGACCCGAGTGAAACCGATAACTACAGAACGATCGCGTTGATATCAGTAGCTCTTAAAGTGGTGCTTTGGGTAGTCACTGCATGTATATCACAGGCATTCGAGGCTCAAGATTTGATCAGGAAGGAACAGGCGAGCTTCCGTTCTCGTGAGGAATATGTGGGACAGGTTGTTCTTTATGAGATTGTAGATTGCCATAAGACTGAGGAAGCATGTCTGTGGTGCCTTCGTCAACTTCTGAAAAGCTTTCAACCTAGTGCCTCATAAGGCCCTCATGATGAAACTGGAGACATGGGAGTACATGGCCAAATCCTGGATTTTATCTGGAATGTGTATTCCAGCTCCAGGGACCATGTAAGGGTTGACAGTGGACTTACTGAGTCTGGACAATGTCCTCAGGCAACGCTGTAAGTATATAAGTTCCTCACGATGCAATACAATGAGGCTAACCAGCATTCCTCAGAATGAAGTCAGTGTTTTATTACAATCAAAGTGATATTGATAAGCTATTAGTATCACACATACAACCAGGGACGTGTAGTTTGGATTCAAAAGGTGATCCAATCCTTCCTCCATGAGAGATGGTGGCGCTTCGTGTACGTCGATCCTTGTTCTTCTACACTTCAGCAATCCTGTAAGGTAACATACCGCAGATTACGTGAGAGTTTTGGTAAATTATCCTCACATTCTGTCTTTTCATTCTTTTAGTTTGCATAACATGTGCTCCATAAGCATGGCTAAAGTTATATTATCATTTTCCTGTATGTTCCTAATCCTCCTATCTTTAAAAATCCTCCCTGTACCCATCCCTGCTCTGAAACTGCTGCCCCATCTCCAACCTCCCTTTCCATTCCAAGGTCCTGGAATGAGTCGTTGCTTCCCAGCTTCGCTCCTTCCTCTTCTGCCACTCCCTTCATGAACTCCTCCAATTGGGGTTACGTACCGCCCACAGCACAGAAACAGCTTTGACAAATGACATTCTGTCCATCTGCGACCAGGGCTCCATCTGCCACCTCGTCCTCCTTGACCTCTCTGCTGCCTTCGACACGGTTCACTACTTTATCCTCCTCCATCGCCTCTCCTCTCAACCTCAGTCTTCATGGTTTTGTCCTTGAATTGTTCAGATCGTACCTTTCACACCGTCTTCACTTCATCTCCACAAATGATTTCTCCTCTAATCCCCTCGCCATCTCGTGGAGTTCCTCAGAGCTCTGTCCTGGGTCCCCTCCTCTTCAATATCTATATGCTCCTTCTTGGTGACATCATCTGCAGACACAGAGTCAGCTTCCACATGTATGCGGATGACACCCATCTCCACCTCTCTGCCTCCACCCTTGACTCCAGGACCCACTGCTGTCCTCACAGAATGTCTGTCAGACATCAAGTCCTGGATGAGACTTAACTTTCTTCAGTTGAATGTCAAAAAGACCGAGGCTCTCTTGATTGGCTCCCATCAGCACCGCCACACCTCAGACGCTGACAGCATCACCATCCATGGTTGCTCACTCCACCTTACCAAGCCAGGCCAGAACCTTGGCATCTTTTTAACCCACAATTATCCTTTCTACCCCACATCCATGCCATGAACCGCTCTGCCTTCCCCCACCTCTGTAACATTACCTGGCTCCGCCACCGTCTCTCACCGCAGGCTGCCGAGCCCCTCATACACACATTCATAACATCCAGGCTTGACAATGCAAACTCCCTGCTTGTCGGCCTCCCCAACTCCTCCCTCCATAGGCTGCAGATCATCCAGAACTCTGCAGCCCATGTCCTCTTCCGCACCAGGCTCCACGAACTTATCAGCCCCATCCTCGCCTGACTCCATTGGCTTCCCATCACGCAGAAAATACAGTTCAAGAATCTGGTCCTCACCTTCAAAGCACTCCATGATCTTGCTCCCACCTGCCTCTGTGACCTCCTACCAACCTGCCCTCTCCCTACGCTCAGCGAGCTCTGGCCTGCTTGACATCCCCTGCTTCGCCCACCCCACCATTGGCGGGCGGACCTTCAGCCACTCTGCCTCCACCCTCTGGTACTCCATCCCACAGTCCTTCTACCTTACCCCTCCCTTGCCTCCTTCAAGACTCATCTCAAGATCCTTCTCCTTCAATCACCCTCCTCCCCCCCTGGCCTCCACCATCCCCAATCCCAACCCTCAAACTCTGGTCTGAAACATTGACTGCACAGGACCTTGGGACATCCTTCCGAGGTGAAAGGGACTATACATATGTAATTTTGTTGTTGTTGTTGTATACAGTTGAAGCATCATTTGTTCCCCTTTATATTCCAGGCCCCTTGAGATAAAGGCCAACATTCCATTTGCCTCTTTGATTACTTTTTGCACCTGGGAACTAGTTTTCAGTGATTTGTGGATATGGACACCTAAATCTCTTTGCTCCTCTCCAGTTCTTAGTTTCTCCCCATTAAACAAATATTCTGCTTTATCTTTTTTTGATCCATAGTGGATGACCTTGTACTTCCCTACATTAAACTCCATCTGCCACAGCTTTGCTCACTCATTTAATCTGTCTAAGTCCCTTTGTAATTTCTTACTCCCATTTACAAAATTTACTGAGCCTCCTGGTTTAGCATCGTCTGCAAACTTGGATATAAAACTTTCTATTCCTTTATAAATGAAAAGCTGAGCTCCATTTGAGGTCCCAGTGCAGACCCCTGGGTGACACCACTTGTCACATCCCACCAATCAGAGAACACTCCCTTTTATCCCTACCCTCTGTTTCCTGCCTCCCAACCAATTTCCAAACCTTGTCACAAGATTACCACTGACTCCATGCACTTCCATTTTTGCCAATAATCTTTTGTGCAGAACCTTATCAAATGCCTTCTGGAAGTGCATATAAACAACATCCATAGACACTTTCTTATCTACTATTTTAATGACTTGCTCAAAAAAATTCCATTAGATTAATCAGACATGACCTGTCCTTCACAAACCCATGCTGACTCTCTTTGATTAGTTCATACCTGTTCAAGTTTTCAGTCACTGTATCCCTGATGATGGATTCAAGTATTTTTCCTACAACTGACGTTAAGCGAACAGGTCTGCAGTTCCCTGGTTTCCCCTCCCTCCCTTCTTAAATAAAGGGATGATATTCACAATTTTCCAATCTAAGGCCACAATTCTCGAATCTAGTGAGCTTTGGAAAATTATGACGACTGCATCTCCTATTTCCTTTAACACCCTGGGGTGGAAACTATCAGATCCTGGAGATTTGTCTATCTTGAGTCTCATTATTTTCTCCCATTTCCAATATATTTTATTTATATTAATTTTATTAAGCATTTCACTTTGATATTGTTAGATTCCCCTGTACGGCTGGTATTTTGACCTCACCCTCTACTGTAAAAACAATAGCAAAGTATTTATTTAACAAGTCAGCCATTTCCTTATTTTCCGTTATAGTCTCACCTACATCTGTCTTTAATGGACCCATATCCCCTTGACCATTCTTTCTCTTAATATATTTATAAAAGCTTTTACTATTGGTTTTAATATCCCTTGCAAGTTTTTTCTGAGGAAACTGAGGCCTGGGGTGGCAGCTGCTGGAAGGTGGACTTGGTCCTGGAGTCCGGGTTTGTGACATATGTTCGTATGTCCAGCGCCTGGAATCCACCTTGATTGGCTGCAGAGAGGCCAGGAGCTGCTGCTTAAACTCCACTCCTCCAACTGGTGGAACCGTCACCCGATAGGAAGGGATGTGAACCTGAGCTGCGGACAGGAAGATAGTGACAATGTTCTCGCGCATTTCATACTGAGTTGTGTTGCCCACCAGGAAGCTCACAGGGAGTTCCTGGTACCTACCATGCACCTAGTCAGGGCCCAAACCTGGGCTTGTCAGATGTCGGAACAATGAACTAGTGACTATCCTGCTTGGGCGGGAGATAAGCAGGGTCTACTTGGAGCTGAAGTGGCTCCAAGATAACATCGCTGACAATGGAATATTGGAATGGAGCCAGCCCTCTGCGACCATCTCTAGTCCGCTTCCTGAGCCAGGCGGGTCCGCAGTATTCCAGGGCACTCACTGCTGATGACAGCACAGCCCAGCCTGGCTCATCGGCAGGATCTAGAAGGGTCGACCAGTCACTGGGGGCAGGGAATCTTCCCACTCAGCTCCTGTTAACCCTGCAGCTAAAGCCCTAACAGGTAGGGTGTTCCTTACTGGACAAGCAGAGGGAAAGCTTGCTGGACATCAATATCAGTGGCAAGCTGTGTGGTTTCAGCTGGCTAGATTCCAGCAGTTACTCCAACACACACGCTGGGTTCCCCAAGCCTAAACTCCTGCTAACCCACCCCTATACTTTGTGGAATTAGGTAAGCAGGAGGGCATCCCTCCAGGGAGAGAGTGCGCATGCCATTCCATTCCAACAATCTATCTCTAGGATTGCCATGTAGGTGGGATGCAAGGAATTCTCAGCTTGGTTTGGAGACTCTTTAGCATGGTGATAGGTTTCCGTACGTGTCAGACACGTGTGATCACAATGTGATCTTTACAATTATTAGACAAAACAAACAAAAAAAATTATTCACCACCTTTCTCCTTCCATCCTGAAGGTACTATCACTTGCTGAGCTCCACCTGTGTCAGTCACTCTCCTGTATGAAGTATATAGGTTACACATTAATATCCCTTGCAATGGCACCAATAGTTAATGGTTGTGGAATAGCTACCTATTGTTCTGAACATTTCTTGGAGCTACAGTCTTTCATTTAGCTGCAGTGTTTACCTGACTTTCTTTATGATCTGTAATAAAATGAAGGCCCATTCTAAGGTATAGAAATCAGCCCATTGTGTTGGCTTGGCCTGATCTTCTGCTCTTTTATTGTCGGGTCAAATCTATTATTTAATTTCCTGAAGTTTTCATCAGCTCAGAGTTAAGCAGAGATGAAGCAATGTGATCT